AAAGAAAAAAAGTTGGTCTTCATAAAACACTCGGTGATGTTGTGACTAACAATGTCTTAGCTGTTGGTTAGAATATTTCAATCGTGATGGTGTCAATGGATAAAATTCTTACAAGTCGACTCAATTATCAATCTCCATCCAATTTCTCTGAAGCTGATATGAATATACTAATATCATACGGCATGTATTCTCATTTTCAATTATGAAGAAAATTGACTTAAAATTAGCCACGTAGTAATTCGATGATATGCCCAAAATGCCCATCTTCCGTCGGCCAGGGTTTTTCTATTGATATGGATGTCTTAATCTGGTGCTCTCGAAATTTGCGTACCAAGATGGCGGACACCGGAACGTAGTATGTGTACCGCATGTGTAATTTTATTCCAATTTTCCATATTTTAGTTCTATTACGAGTTCGAGGACTAGCCAAGTGACTACCGTAGTATTTGTATCTGAAATTAAGGCTTAACCCTAACCTGGTACATATACTACGTTACGGTGACCGCCATCTTGGTTCACATACTTCCCTTAATCTTACAAATCGTCACTAGACATTTTCAAATCACTTGATTATTTAAGTGAGTATTTAGCGAAACCACGTGATACCTATTTTTATTGTTTATTGCATTTTCACTCGTCTCTGTTATTTCGTTTTTATTTTATTTTATTTTTTATTATATCTGAGGGTGTTGTTAGCTCCATAGCTAAACAATCCGTCATTCGCAACTCATAATATTCATATATTTATCGTAACAACTTCGTCAATTCGTGATTTTTTGATTAATAAATCCATTAATTCTGATTCTTAATATGATAAATCATCATTCAATTCTGAACCTTCGCTGGCGCTGCAAATATCCCAATTATGTAAATCATTCTCGTACTTTTACTGGAAAAAGCAAATGTGACTTATTACGTTGATGTTATGTACATGTCCATAAAGTCCCTTTACAATTTCAATTTTTGTTATGAAGCCAGTTTATATCTCAAGTATTTTTACTTCATTTAATACATCTGTGAGAACCAAAATAAAGTGTAGCATCGATAAATTCCCTTTTGCAATTTTAAAAATGTTAAGACTTTATGGACACCCTATATAATGAGGCAAAAATCAAAGGAATTTTCAAAGCTCACAAGTTTATATATTTAAACAAATATATAGCCTACATATACAAAAACTGTTTTATACATAATTGATTTTATAGTAATTATTAGTTATTATTAGTTAAACTGCCTGCGTATTATACTGGCAATATTCTTTGTAGGCTATCTGGCTTTATCAACATTTTTTAATAGTACGTTGCTTTATCACGCAAAGGCTATTATGTTATTTTGATACGTCTATAGTTTCAACTTTTCAGTCGGTACTCTTTACGATGTAACTTGAAGGCTCTGGTCTTTACTTCAAAATAATAATAAAAATGATAAGGTTTATATATTCTAAGCATATAAGGTGATGAAAACACCATTCATATTAGAGAAACGACCTAGATGGAGAGGGACATTGGAAATGGAAGGATGGTACTGATGTGATCATGATAGGTGAAGTTGGATATTAATATATACCAACCAACCAATTTATTCTCTAAACAGTCAAAGTATATACGTACTGCATTTCTAATAATGAGGTAGATTTTAGCTTAAGATAGTTGATCCAATTGGTGACTAGTACTTAACAAGTAATCCAAAAGGAGGAATTCCCCTACGACAGACGATGGCATTATTGAAGTCTCGCTAGCTGTTGACTTTGCTACACTCTTGTGCATACTACACGACATGAAAGTCATGAAAAAAAATTTGCGGAGCAAATTATTTTTTTCAATTTTTTTAAATATAGTTAGGGACCTAATCAGTTTTGATATCTTACTTCACCTCTCATTATTTAAAATTTAAATTTATAAATACGAGAAAATTGTTTGCCGATCAATAATGGATTGTGTTCAACGTGCTCAATTCTAACTTTCGTTCCGCCAATGATCAGGAATTGTTTTTTTTGCTGAATTGCCTTCTAGTCGGAACTGGTGTTGAGACGTGACAACGGTACTGCTGTACAGGCTTGTTCACGTTTTAACCTGTGGTGCAGTGCAAGCTTAGCAATCGCCGTTGTAATACTTAGCAAGATAGGTAGTAGTAATTCATTCCAAAAGCATAAAGTTAAATTTTGGATAAGTACGCCGGACAATCGCCGAGTGCATAATGATACAATTCCCTGGCATTGAATGAATACCAATAAGGAGCCTACAGATGATGTAAAGATGAGGAGGACGTTAAGGCAGCATGACAGAATCGAAATATAATGAATCAGGTTTATGAAGGAAAGTAATTGAAATTCAACTAACGCAGTTAGGCCCACAGTAAAAGTTTTTATCGGTACTGCAAAATCTACCTATATATTGAATGACAACTCAAACAATATCTTTGGTATTATATATGCATAAACAGTTTTATGGTCCTACAATTTGACCATGCCAATTCGCAACGTTTTTAACATTTTTTCAATGGCGTGTTATTGTTTTGTTCTGTGTGCATATCGTTTTAAGAATATCGGTATTGGCCTCATCAATTACAGACCTGTACACGCGTGATTGGTGTGTTTCCTGTGAATTGCTTTTCTAAGTGTCTGTGCACATAATTTACCAACATAGCTTCGATTAAAGTTTGTATTTTGCTTCTTTTAAACCAATGCCAAATCAGTTAAGTTATTCGTGGCTTCCGACTATTCTCGTTAGTCGTTACTTTGTCACATTGTATTTGTATCAGATTGAATAGATCATTATCAGCTTAAGTATTTTAAAAGTAGCCTACAACAGCCTGAACGTTCAATACATTCGCGTATTTTTTGCGTGTTTATTTCTGGCCCATTCCTCGTTTAACAAAGTTTGTGTTTTTTGTTAGTGACTTGATCAAGCTACCAAGAATTGGACCAGTCCCGCCATCTATATCATCGGAAATGAAAAACTCAGTCTGATACCGGCATCAAATCTCAACAACACCTCTGTAACACAACATAACAGCTATTTAAGTAAACATTGTTCACAGGTTGGGGGAATAGCTATATTTTGGATTGAGATTTCATGCGCAAATATTGCACTATCTCGTCCATTACTATCAGGTGAAGAAACATTTATATAATATTTACAACGTTGCTAGTTATTTGCGTCAAATCGGAAATCACTGTTATTCACGAAACCACAAGCTTCTTATGTCTTCTGGTTACTGCATGTCGAAACTGTACAAACAGTGGTGACACCTCGTAAAATGATTATTATAAGTTCACACCCACAATTCACTGAGTCACTTTTGTACATAAGACATGCATTGCTAAACCAACCGTATTTAATCTGTATATACACATTTAATATTAAATGTCAAAATCATATTGTTGAGCAATATAATGAACAAATATAAATTTAATGCAGAGCAGAAATAAAATATATTTTAGTTTCATAAAAGATAATGTGTGAGATTTTTAAGATTGTTGTGAAACAAGTTTGCCAAATATTGTTTATCTGTCATTTTCCTTTTTCCACGTATATTTACAAATATTTGAAAGATCACATATACAGCACATGGAAGTTTTACACGACCCTGCTCAAATTTTGCTATATCACTTAAAACAGTTTTCATTCGGTGTAACTTATAAATAGCGAAATGCTTGTGCATGTCACATGTTTCCTGATTGCAGTAGACAGTGAAAATATTTTCACATTTAAACGCTCAAACATTCATCCATCTGAATAGAGGAGACTTTTTAATATATCAAGACTTAATTTCCATATAAACTTCTCTGAGTATACGTTCTTTAGAAAAGTTTGCAATATTTAAGTTTTTAACTTTATTTAATTACACATGGCCAACTTCCCGGAAATTTGGAATAAGTAACAAACTCAAATCTGCATTTGCGATCTTTTCAACTGCTTACTCTATTTATACTTCTTGAAAAGGTATATATTTGTCTCAGTCACAAGTATTTCTAAGCACAATAATGTTCTGCACTGGAAATTAGAGGTATCGGTGCTGGATGTTCAAGTGATATTACCTTTTGCTCGTTCTAATACGATTATAATAATAGGTCTGTACAAATAAAGCAGCAACATTTACAAATTACAACAAAGAAAAATCAACAAAGTAAACAAAATGTCGCAGTAATGTGAAACACTGTTTAATGTCAAAATTTTCTTTTCTGAGAAAATACAATGAAAATTTAGAAACTTACAAAGGACTGATAGATCATCATCGAGTCATCGATACCCCAATTAGTTAAAATGCGAAACAAAAATGTCAAGTGAAAATGCAAAAAACAATAGAATTAAACATCACATGGTTCTAGCTTGAGGCATTTGCAGGACCTGGTAAATAAAAATCTCTAGCCTCAACTGGTGACGATTTGCAAAATTACAGACAGGCGCATCACGTACCAGGGGAAATCCCATGTCCGATGAAATGCGTGCATTTCAGACATAACATCCAATTACTACTATAAGAATAACGAACTATTTTTAGTCGAAAGAAGCATTCTTTCATTTTTGTTTTCTATTTTCAGTCAACAAGAAGAATTCTATTCATTTTTGGAAATGACACTATAAAACTTTCCTATTTTATAGTATATGCGTATTAGTTGTCGGGCATGGAAATTATACCGAACGAGACAAAATGAGTGGAACTTCTCAAGTAAGTTTTCGGATTTTTATTGCTGTATTACAATACACAGACTTAACCTGAACTACAAGTCGTTTACAAGAATGCATGCTGGAATATACATGTTTGCGACATGACCTACAGAGCTGATTACACTCTGGGTGAAAAAGTGAATAGATACTGATGATTGCTCTGTTCCGGCTATGAGATAGAGATGACAATCGACACCAACTTGACTAACTACTTCAATAATAACGACATTGTATGTAACAAGTATACCTAGTGTTTTGTCAATAAACAACTCTTTTGAATTTTTTTACATTTTCGTAATTTGCTGATAGTTACTGCTTAGCTGAAATTCATCAGGCGTTGTAAGATTCGTAAGCTGTTTCCACTTGTGTTTGCTTAGTTGTCGCAGGCAGAGCTTGTTCGTAACCGGCAGTTTCTTGCAGGACATTTGATGATGATGGTTGTTCGTAAGCTGACTCCACTTGTGTTTTCTTTGTTGTCGCAGGCAGAGCTTGTTCGTAACCGGCAGTTTCTTGCAGGACATTTGATGATGATAGTTGTTCGTAAGCTGGCTCCACTTGTGTTTGCTTAGTTTTTGCGGGAAGTGGTTGGTCGTATCCGGCAGTGTCTTGCAAGACATTTGATGATGATAGTTGTTCGTAAGCTGGCTCCACTTGTGTTTGCTTAGTTTTTGCGGGAAGTGGTTGTTCGCATCCGGCAGTTTCTTGCAAGACATTTGAATATGATGGTTGTGAAGCTGGATTGTTGGAAAGAGTTGCTAATTAATTGAAAGAATGAAATTATCAACCACAGAACAAAAAAAAATTGATTCAAAATGCTTATCTTGATAGAAATCAGATCAATGTAAACCTGTAGTAGACAGTGTGTTAAAATAATAATTTTTGAAATAAAAAATATCACAGTTTTTTCCATCAGTTCATAGAAGGTTTGTTCACAGACAATCTCTTTCAAATTTTTAGTAATATTATGGGCGTGACTCCTAGTAGGGCGTTAATTTTATTCATTTTTATGGCATTCCAATTTTGTATGAACTCGAGATATACAAATTGTATTGCCCCACTATTAGAACCTGTATTGATTGATAAACGTTTTCTACCTCATTAACATTGATGGCATGTGTTTATCATTGAAGTGGAGTTACAACTTTTATCGTGACCGTTTTCTGTTGTGTTTATACACTTTGAATGACACTTCGAATTTGATTTTATGGGAATAATATTTTATACATCAGTTCTGATTATTCCTCACTACCTTTTTTTTTTATAGTTTCGTAAATGTGTTCTTTTACTTCTGCCTTTTCCTTCAAATTCTTTATTTCTTTCTTCAATTTGTATATGATCCAGACAGAGACGACCAAGAAGACGAAAGGAATGAGAAAACCAATCACAAAACTGATGATGTTGAACTCGAACGCTCCTTTCTCTAAAACAAATACGTTACTCTAATTTCCTGTTGATTTTTGAAGGTTTTGGGATTATAGTTTTATTAAATTAGGCAACATCATCTCTAGAATTACAAAAATAGTATATAACGTTCACAATAAAAGAACACTTTATTCTTCTTTCAATTCTCAAAACTATTTGCTTGTTATCTTGTGTTGTTTGAAGTTTGCTAATTTTTTTCATAATCTGGCTTTGAACTAACCAAATCTGAATATTTGTTATTCTTACCGGTATCGCTCTTAGCAGTAGTTTCCTGTTCACCTTGTTTCAACGTTATAGAGGGGCTTTGACTGAAATGTATTTGGTCACCAGAGGGCGTAGAATAAACTATCGAGACACTGAAGTAAAATAAGTTATATTATGCATTGCGGAAATACATTCCTTAAATGAAATACTGATAAAAGATCCGATATATTATATTTGATTGATAGCACTATTAAATAGGTAAATCAATCTAATTTGACGTTAACATATATCTTTTCTGTCCGTCGGTTTTGAAATAGCATTATAACAATACCAAAACTTTCAATTAAGAATTAAAAGTCTATGATGATCTATAACCCTAAGATATATCTGGAATACCTGAACGTTTTTTTATCTAATTTTTTGTTCCTTCCTGTGAATAAAATTTCTTTTCCACGACTTTGTTCATTTTGTATCCCTGCTTTTCCGGTATTTATTACGTCACATGTTGTCATTGATTCATCACCGAGTGTAATATTCATTCGCTTACCGTTCATGCTAAAATATTTTATTCAATGTAAAATAGAATATGATATGTTATGCAGGAAATACCGCTGCTGCTCGAGACAATAGAAAAATCCCGTTGCAACGACGCATACAGGTATATACACCTTGAAACTCTTCAAAATTCATCTATGGTGGTACGAACATATGCAGTATCAAAGTATCTTCTTGCATGTGCGTTGTATGCCTATACTATAGCCGAAAAGTATTGGAGTAAAGTATTCGTAGTACAATGCGTTTCGTTATAGTTTTTAAAAAAAATCAACGTCGAAAATCATATAAATTTATATCGAAATATCGCCGTTGTCCTGTTATATAATACCTACATTGCCCTGGTACCGATTGCGAATAAATCTTTTATCCGATTAGTTGTTTTTAATATCGCCAATAAACTTTCAATAATTTTCTTATGTTTCATATTTCAGGCAAATTCTACAATTCATGTTTAACTAAAACGCCTAATTAAATAATCACATAATATAATTTTCTAGAAATAAAAACTATTTACAACCTTGAAACAGGTATTGCTTTAGCAATATACTTATCACCGCTCTCTGTGTTGTTAATATTTATCATGTCAGTCAAGGAGAAGGCCACGTCGTGTTCCTTCAAATTTGTGCGTACAAGTACGAATAGGCAACTGTAAATTAATAGATTATAGTTTATACAATAACAGAAATTGTACCGACATCTTATTTTGTTGAAGAATAAAGTTCATATTGAAAAATGATACTAATCAAAATTAATCAGAACTTTCGTGTCTAATAAGCCGAGTGATTATATTGGTACAGGAGAGGAATAACATACCTAATATGATATATGAACAGGCACAATTGATTTTTTTTTTTCAGGCTAATAGGAAGATGAATGTACTACCTTTATTGTCGATATATTATTTTCTACTCTGTTGCATTTAGTTTACCTGACAAGGCCATTAGTCTCATCTGGTGCTTGTATTCCGAGTTTTTTGAATCCACATACTCTGCTAACTAGGTTATCTTCAAAACTATCAGGCGGAAAAACCTTTGTGGGAGCTAAAATACAAGACAGTATTTAGTCAAAGGCATTACGATATCCTTGATTTTTGCATTATTATTTACGCTTTTGCTGCAAACTGCGTTCTGCAAATGTGTCAAATTATCGTTTCAATTTGAAAATTGATACATATTTAGAACGCAATGACTTACGCAACTTCGCTTATCTTGGTTCAATTAGAGTTGTTGAGTAGATTAGTGATTACAAAATTGAATTCACAAACATTGAATTCTGAATATACCTCTAGGTTTTCCGAGACAAATGCCAGTAACAGAAAAAACTTGACCAAATCCATCACAACTGAATATTTTGATTGAAGCGGAATAGTTACGATTTGATTCTGGTTGAAACGAATACACGGATGATGACGTCACGTTTATTAGTTTCATGTCTGTCTTCAAGTTTGAATCTCGTGAGGAAGCCAGGATTGAAGTTAGATTCAGTTCCTATTAATCATGAGATAAGTAATTACATCCGAAAGTCACTAAAAATGCTCTGAAAATTGATGCCAAATAAGGACGTTGAAGATAACGTAAAATCTTCCAGCTGAGTGGAATATGAATTGGATATAAATTACTAATAAACAAAAAACAAATGTGCAATTTATATCAGCGGACCAAAACAGATCTACGATCGTAAGTATAAACAGTCAAACTTCACGACTCAATGTGGACCTCATGATACACGTATGGATTCTAAATTCAATTGACATATCTTCAAGTAAAGCTGTGTGTTTCGAATAATTTGAGTCAAAATAAAAATAGTTCTTACCACAGTATATGAATCACCAGTCTCTGTCTTGTTAGATAAGATCCAAGAGATGACGCAAGTTTGTGTATTCTTGTATTGTATAATAGACGACGATTCTGCAGATAACGTTGCTCCTCCTGTTGTTGCGTTTCGGAAAGTAGAATATTTAGTTATGATTTTTGTAGAATTGTTGTTGAAAATTATGTTTGAACTTCGTGTGCATATATTTGAGTTTTGCTCCATTGTTTCTTTAGATAGAACCTATGCAACTTGTTACGTTTCCTTTACCTCCAGTTGCGCACGAATTGAGAAAAATCAATGAATATTACCTTTCTGGCAAATGTAGTAGATGATTTCATCACAAGATATATCAATCCACTCATACGTTTTTCTTCCAACTGCCAAACAATCTTCATTGCCAACATTGTTTGGTTGATTCGAATTCCTGATAAATTTAGAAGCCGAATTAATTATTCTAAAAATTATGCAGGCTCTAAGCAACTAATTTAAGAAATAGTTAGTGACAAGTTGTTACGCAGATATACCTTCTAAATATTTTCCGAACAGGAGAAGTATTGATATAATAAATATGGAATTAAAATTTTAAATTTTAGCTAGGCATAATTTATTCAATTGCCCCTAACAGGTATCTAGTGAGGTTTTTCGGGATTTCACCTCCGACAAAATGAATTTGACTACGACGAATAATAAATGGAATTTTTGAAGTCATGCCGTGGTATTTCTCTTCACTATAATATTGATAATATGAATACCGCGTGGTATACAAGTTCTGAAAACTATTTCACGCAGAAAATATATTGTTTATTAAATTCTTTTGCAACTTTTATAAATAAAATTGAAAAACAAACCAGTTTTGATATCCCACTTCTCCTTCTCATTATCACATTAGTACCATCCTGCCATTTCCAATCTCCTTCTATTGCTATGTCGTTTCCACCGATATAAAACCCATGTTACCATGTTTTGTATGCTAAGAATATAAAAATTGTATCATTTTTTTTTTAAAGAAAATAACGGAATCATCGATTAAAAATTGAAAAAACGACCGAAAGAAGAGCTGAAACGTACCACGTACGCGCTATGATAACTAAAGAGCTTTTGTGTGATGAAGCAAAGTATAAATAAAAACGCTGATTATGCCAGGTAGCCAATAATCAAAAATACCCAGTTAGTTCCGGTGTTTGTGTGATTTGCAAACTTGAATTGAATTGTTTAAAAACTAATTCCTAAAAGACCCATTGCGTAAAGAACAGTTTTTGCTTCAATTTATTAAAATATACAAACTTGTGAGCTATAGAAATTCTATTGATATTTGCTTTTATACTATTCCCGATAGACTACTTGTTTCAATGCAACACACCCAAGGTAATTAAATCGCTGTGTAAATGTTAAAACTAAAAGGATTTCTGGATACATCAGGCTGGGGTTGGTTATACGATATAATGTAAAAATAAAGAAGTACATATTTGGAAGTATCCCGATCCTACAACATGCTTCCTAAAAGTAAAATAAATCTTTAGCTCTCGTACATCACTATGCATACGATATCCTATTCCAACTCACGCATATAATAAGTGTTTAATCTACATCGAGATGGTACAAACAACAGTGAGATAATCAATTTCATCTATTTAGTGCTAAAGTTTCATTCAACACATAGAACAATTCACATATTATATAACACCAAGATATCAAAAATAAGTTTCTTTTTAACTCACTCGAATGCTGAATTAATGACTGTCGTCATTCTCTCATTATCAACTTTAGCTAAGTAACCTCCCAATCCCTCACAGGAAGATTTGGCGCTGTTGTAAGTTTTATGTTGTTTGAAGAAAAGCAGTTCAAACCCATCAACACATTCTTTCTTCCAGGGATCTGAAACACAACGGTATCTGGAATTGTAATCAGATTCAAATTTGAACAATTGAATAAAGAACAATTCTCATTTATTAACATAAAATTTGACAAAAGTAAAATTGTAATGATATATTGAATAAATATACAATACTTTAAAAGCTGAAATTTTTTAATTCATTATAAGGAAACTTTGTATTTGTCCTTGAGAACGCAACCTAAACAAAAGGTTTTCATCGAGATATGACAAAAAGTTTTCATTCATAAAATTAAACTAACCTTGAGCTGAAACACTGATGATAAGGATCGAAAACAATATCACCAAAATTGAAAGATTCATCTTTATTATTCGAAGGACACAGTTTTTGACATTTTTCGTCAACCTAAATATTACAACCTAATTTTAATTCTTTTTGATCAGGTCGTTTTAGGTTTCAATTATCATAACTGCAATGTAAAAAATAAAATTAATTTAATGCCACTTTTAAAAATAAAATTATATTTTTTATCGAAATATAAATCAAGCAACTCAAGTAAATGGACGTGACAAACATCACAGTTCCTATTGTTGAAGCAATATTATGAATAACGGCGAATCACGTCGACTGATTTGAACCTTTGTGACGTAGAAGATCGACCTTTTCACCAGTATGCCCAGCTACATAAATTCGTCCCTTCTCTTATATTCAGATTTTAGTTGATCATAGATCGTTGTTCGCTTAAGACTGAACTGGTTATTAATATATTTCGACATTGTGGCAATATCCATGAGTCTTTCTTGTGGTAAATTACAAGCAGCAGAAGTGGCTGTACCTGCTATGAAGCGAAAGCATTGGAACACTTTTTCACGAGAATACTTTGATACAGTGATAATAATTACATAACTTATGCGTAAGTTTCTTCATTCACATTTTGAAATAATTCCACTCCTACAAACTGCTACTAATATTACCGTACCAACATTTCTCGAAACCCGCTCTACATACAATCAGGAAAAGTGAACGTAAATTGTCACGTATGGATGTTAAACTGAGATGGTTCACTGAGTCAGTCTACCACTTCCCACCATACTAACAAAAGAGTTGCAAACGCACGGAAACATTAACTTCCAATAACCGTTCCTAAATCGCAATGGATTGTGTGTTCATGCATCAGTTATACCTGATGTAATAGCACAAATTCATAAGGAAGTATTGCCAGTATATTCGTTAAGCAAACACTGCATTGTGATTATGCTTAGCATCGTTGTCACGAGTGGATGTTATGAAAACCAAATAATATACCCAAGTGGAAATTGTTTTCCTCTGTCTTTCATTAGTATGTACCTATAGCATCATCCCCCCAAATGCAATTGAGATCTAATCTCAACACACCCACAATACACTGTATCACACAGATCCTCGACAGGTTCGATAACAAATCAGAATACGTTAATTACAAAACGTAACGTCTCAAACAAATATGTTAACTTAACATTTTTTTTCTCACACTTAAGAAATTCGCATTATTGTGATCTAAGACAAGTAATTCTTACCAGCTAGACGAGGTTTGATGTGAGTTGCGCGAGACTAACTCCCTCTCGTCATCTATGCCTTTATGCTAGAGGTTTGCTTGAAAATAATGTAGGAACATATTTTATTATTATGTTGTTTTCTTCCATATTGAAAATACATCGAGTTCTGAATAAGGAATGGCGCATTGAACTAACTGCAAGACGACATTGCTTTAGTGAATTCTATTGAGGAAACGATATTTCACGAGAAAGCTATTAGGCAATAACTTTATACGTCGCTTACATAATCTTTTCATGCTTTGTCACAACTTTTAGGATCGTTCATTGTTTCAAAATAACCCATTTCATTTCTTACACTTTCGAGAGAATACTTTTTTAATGAAATTATTTTTTGCAAAAATGGACCGATTACGCGACTAGGTAATGAAAATGCAGTATTATAAAGTGTAAAGTTTAATTTTCCAAATATAGGCCACGAAAACCTCTGTATTCATGCTCCCGTTTTAAAAACATATAAAATCTTACAATTATAATTTGTTTTCTGAATATTTCAATATGTTTATTTCTTTTTGAATCGGATGAATTGAGTTCTAATTCCCAAAAAGTTAAAGTTTGACTAGTTATATTCGTCCGCGTCACGTCGTGATACAACTTGGTCATTTCGAATCCAACACATACGAAAACAAACAACTATCGTTAATAAACGTTTCAACAATATGTCTTACGCGGAATCTGGTCACTAGAGCATGAATTCGCATTTTCTTGTAGTTTATGCCAGAATACGCTATGTTGGTCGGACAGCTTGGTTCGAGTGTTCGAACAAACCAGTTTGACTAAAATAAAACTCTACAGACCGGTACTAAGCCCCAGTGTCGGTACGGAGACTGACGTTATTGCATTACTTTTAAAACACACTAAACTTCACCGCCCTATGTGACTTGATCAAGCTCCCAGTAATTGCACCGGCCCCGCCATATATGCCACCGGGAAACATGATCAGTCTAATATCGACATCCCATCTCAACACCATCGTCGCAACAGCCCAATACAGCACTTTAAGGACGACCGTTTGGCATTTTGGCACAATAGCCATTTTTTGGATTAGGAGTCACAAGGGATTCACAACTTTGCAAGTTATTAACGCCGAACAGGAAGCTATTGTTCTTAACGAAACCAAAGTTGTGTATGTCTTTGGGTGACTGCAAAACTGAACAAACAGTATTGACGCCTCGTAGAAATACTAAAAATTCACACCCACAATTCATTGAAACTATTGTTTATACCGAAACCAAGGCTTTGTATGTCTTTGGGTGACTGCAAAACGGAAAGAACAGTATTGACGTCTCGTATAATTACTAAAAATTCACGACCTCAAATCATTGAGTCACGTTAGTATATGAGGTATGTATTGCTAAAGTGACAGTATTTTATTCTGTATATACAATGTTAATATATGAAAGTTAAAACATATTGCTGGGCAATTTAATGAACATATATAAATTTAATGTGGAGCAGAAATAGAATATATTAATATAATGTATATATAATATCGTTTCAAAGATGGCAATGTGTGGGATTTTGAGTTTGTTGGAGAACAATTTTGTCAAATCTTGTTTCTCCGTCATTTTTCCATAGTTTAATTTTTGCAACATCACCTAAACTGTTTTAATTTGGTGAAATGATAAAAAATTTAAATTATAAAAACAAAAACATCATAAGTTTCCTGATTGCAGTAGTCAGTAAAAATAATTTCACATTCAAATTCACCAATATTTATACATCTAAAAATAAAACAAAACTTTTAATCAAACGATGGTTCATTTTTACATCAATTACAATCTGGGTACGTTCGAGAGAAAAGTTTGCAATGCGAAAGTTTTTGGCATTTTGTTATTATACATGGCCGGCTTCCCGGAAATTTGAATTAACTGACGAGACCAAAACTGCATTTGCGATCATTTCAACTCATCACTCTATTTATACTTTTTGAAAACGTATATGTATCAGATACAAGTAATTCCAAGGACAATATTGTTCTTCACTATAAATTAGAGGTATCGGTGCTGGATGTTCAAGTGATATTAACTTATTGCTCTTCATAAGTTTATATTACTTATATCTGTACAAATATAACAGCAACATTTAGAAATAATAAAAAAGAGAAATCAACAAAGAAAACAAAGTGTCGTAGTAATCTGAAACACTCTTTGAAGTCAAAATTCCCTTTTCTGTGAAAAAGCATTAAAAATATAGAAACTCACGAAGGACGGATTGCTGATTATCAATTCCCCATGATATTTAAAAAGCGAAACAAAGAGGGCAGGTGAAAATTTGACAAACAATATATTTAAATACCACACAGTATCGCTTAAAGCATTTGCAGGACCTGGCGAATAAAAACCTCTAGCGTCAACTAGTGACGATTTGCAAAACTACAGACAGTCATAACACGTATATTGTCACAATTTCGACATCTTCAGCAGATATTCCACTTTTACTATTATTGCTTAATTTATTTGTTTACAGTTGCATATTTGTACTTGTTCACAAAAATTTGAAGACATCTGATGACGTACTTTCTTTGACTGACATGATAAAACT